CTCTCTCTCTCTCTCACACACACACACACACACACACACACACACACACACACACACACACACACACACATATACACTCTCTCTCTCTCTCTCTCTCTCTCTCTCTCTCTTCTGGAAACCAGCTATAGTGTTGTTTAGATCTGCAGAGTCTATACATACAGGCAAACCAAGCAATTACAANCTCCTGGAAACCAGCTATAGTGTTGTTTAGATCTGCAGAAACTATACATACAGGCAAACCAAGCAATTACAATACATGTCTAGCTATAATCAGAGACATACTAGACATGTATTGTAATTGCTTGGTTTGCCTGTATGTATAGTTTCTGCAGATCTAAACAACACTATAGCTGGTTTCCAGGAGAGAGAGAGAGAGTGTGTGTGTGTGTGTGTGTGTGTGTGTGTGTGTGTGTGTGTTCCGGATACATGTCTAGACTAAACAAGGATGGTCTAAGCCTTACATGGCTGGAATAGTTAGCAGAATTTCCTCTTAAATAAGAGAAGAGGGAAACACAGAGACAGAAGATTTACAGACCTTTAACCACAAGGCCTCACTGCACCATGCAATACCTCAGAGCCACATTTTGCTTCAATGAACAAACAACATAAATCAGTTTTAATATGTGGATGTAGAGTGTGTTTTAGTATGTAGTCATTTAGCTTATATCTCTGTTTGTTTGTATGCATATGTAAACAAGTCTTTATAAGCATCACAATCATAAATCCAGCAAATATATTCAAAGATTCAAGGACTGTTTACTGTCATTCTGCGAAACATGAAGCAGTTTTAGTTCCTCCTGCCACACAAGAAAACAAGATAAAACAAAAACAGTAGTGAATTCCTAAAGAGCAGTTTCAATATTTGCATCAGGAGGAATGTAAACAGAAGCAACAGAAACCTCAGTTATTTATCAGGGCCGATAATAAGACTGTTATCTTAACAATACAAATTGGACCTCAGGGAATTATTGTTCCTCAGTTAGCTGTAACATCCACTACAAATAAGACACACACATCTAAGTGAGGCAGACTAACATGGCAGGCTAGTCATTTTGAAAGACTTTGGTGTGTGTGTGTGTGTGTGTGTGCGTGTGTGTGTGAGTCTGTGGGTTCAGAAGTGGGACAGAGGACAAAGCCATTGTGTCTGCGATGCTACAGGATGTAGAGTTCAGTTAAAAGCCAGACAGACTTCTAGTAATCGAGACCACTATGACAAATCTACATTTAGAATGCAACAAAATGTGTGTGTGGCGTGCGTGCGTGCGCGCGCGCGCGTGTGTGTGTGTGTGGAGTGAAGGACTTCTAGGAATCAATACAACAATTCCAGTAATGTTTGTCTGTGTACATCTTGTTCAGACCACAGACTGGGCACAGTTCATGTGTCTACGGCTACAAGACAAGGACAAGGGATATTGTGAGCTCTGGTGTCTTGTCCAAGATTATGATTTGTCTCCCTGTCCACTTCCTGTGGCTACAAGAAAGTATAATTTCTGCCATGTTGGCTGTACAGTAAGTGGCTGGTCTGGAGCCTAACTGGAGCCTCTCCTGTCTGTTTCTGGAAGCTGTGGCTAAATGTTAGGGCAGGTTCTTTGGCCCTCAGTGGGGTTAAAGTATGGCATGTCAAGGTCCCTCATGTTCTTTAGTGGCTAGAAGAGTGAACTGTATGTCAAGAATTTCACTTTTAAACAAGTAAAGGTTCCTGGGACATATTTGGTAATATAATGAAAAGTATGTAGCTTTTTGGAGTTGGCATAATAGTCGCATTTAGGTCAACTAATCACTTTGGTTCTAAAAAAGAAGTTAATTATATTCAGACAGACAACTTCTGGTGTGTCCGTAATGCGTTACTGTGTAGAATGAATGGATGGAAATAAGGAAAAGGCCGGATTTATACCAAAAAAAAAGGGGAACATTTACTTCAGAGTGGTGGTTCTGTTACATGTCTGAACTTTTAGTTTGAGACAGGAAGATGGATTGAAGGAAAGGAGGAGAATGTGTGGAAGGAATGTTAATTTGACAGTTTGTACTACAGTTAAGTGTGTATGTGTCAGTATCAACAGACTGGTACTGCCAACAAGCCAGACAGGGCTAACAAGCATGCGGCCATGTGGACTGCAGAGAGTAAATAAGAGTATAAATCAGTTGGAAATCAAAGAGCTGCAGTCTGTGAGGCCAGGCAGATGTTGTGTGTTATCCACATTAAACCGGGTCACACAGGATTATCAAAGTGATCCCCAAACAGCACCTTTCCTCTTCTTTCTGCACCTTTGGCAAAACAGTGCCAATAAGTATATGAGCAGGACTAGGTTTCCAAGAATAAAAGCTATACGTTTCCTTGGCAGAAAGATTGCTTGCTGTAAAAATGAATGGTTGCTATTGATTTAGGTTGAGGTGCCTCATGTCTACAGCATTTCTGTTATGTGTAGCCTAAAGGAGCTGTTGATGTATAGTGCCTATAAATCTCATGGCAATTAATGTTTGGCACAAGAACAGCTGCCGACTGCAAGCTGGGGATGGGATATGAGCACTGTTAAAGAGGTACATGTCATAGCAGGCTGGCTAACAATCAAACGTTTGCAGCCATTTAAAAAAAAAAAGGCACAGAAAAAGTCAAGTTGTGTGTGTTATTGGAGACACCAGGTGTGGTCCATACCATGTGTCTTACTGAGCATACATACAGCATCTTTGTGCTAAGATGTGTGATAAGATGTGAACATGGAGCTCCCAACACTGGATAGTTATTCATTTATTCATTAGATGTAGCCTGTGGATCCTCCCCATTAACCTTCACTTACAAGCCAAGCCGGAGGGTAAAGGCCACGGCGAGCATGCAGAGGGAGCATGAAGAGAGCAGACAACGGCACACACAAACAGGTACTTACAGCCAGTGTCTTTGAGTCTGTTGATTGCGTTGGACAGGAGGCGGACACAGCCGAGGAAACCTGCACCCTGCTTTTTGTGGATCTTCTTGTGATTCCATACGCTGATGGTGATTGAGTCTGCCTTTCCAATGTATCTGAGAGGGGAAGAGAAAGACAAATTGTCAAAAAGACAATCCTGGCAACATGAGTAGGATTTCCAATGGTCCATTGAGCCATGGTGCATGCTTGAGTGCAGTAGCAGGAGGGCTTAATGCAGGGTAGGCAGGATGGAAACTCAATTAAATCATAACCTACGACACTCAAGAAATGTTGCAAAGCATTAACAAATACATATAACTAATAGTGCAGAGAAAAAAAGTGAATCTTACATGTTGCATCTCTTCCAACCACTTCTTGGTAAGAATAATGCACACCATGTTTGCAGTGCAGACTGTCAGACTGTGTAATGAGGCTGATTAGCTGATTTAAAGAACCATGAGTGTGCATGCGTATGTGTATGTGCATATTGGGCTAAGATCAGTCTAGTCGTGGTTGGAGAACAGAGGAAGTCCCCAAGATGTGCTTCACCACTGACTGAGAGCCAGACAGCTACAAAAGTAAACACACAGTTCAACTTTCAAATGCACAATCACACACACACATAATTGCAGCCTCAAAGCCACCACTGATGCAAAGCTTTATATTACGCTGTGTATCACCAGCGAGCTGTGGGGTTTCCCCACTAAACACATCAAAATGTATATGTATTTGACAGCAAGTCAAATCATAGAAGTTGGGAAATTGTTGCAGTGAGATTAAATTACAGCGTGTGTGGGTTGTGGATCTTTAAGTGTCCAGCGATTCAGTCTCTAGTCACTATCTCACACTGTGATCAGGATGCAGTACCTGAGGTTAGCAGCTTGGCATGTTCACTGTTTCTCACTCAACAGATGCTGATGTGTCTAGGCATGTGCTTGTTGTTGCATATGTTGATTATGATCTCATGTTCAAGCCATTTAACATTATTAGATGACAAGCGGGTGAAATAACTCATTTTTTTGTGCCAACATACTTTCAATCGTCTTCTCCATTAGGTTTATTTGACAAAAAGTGGATACTGACTTACGGATTAAAAAGAATATTCCACTAGTAAGGACAACATGTTCTGAGCAATCAAACAAAACATCTGAATGGAGTTACTTTGAATTAATTGGTTTTTCTGATAAAAGCTGTGCTGTTGCTCACTTCGACAAGACCCATTTTTTAAAGATCATTCTTGATTACGAGATATTTACAAACACTTCCAAAATATTACAGATATGTTGCAATTTGGTGCTCAGCAGTGTGAGCTCTTCAATCCCCTCTGAAAGCAGAACACAGTATTCAAAATGAAATGTCATGCTTTTCCCTTCACACAATGTGGTTGCAAGATTAACAGGTCACTGTGAGGAAAAGATGTGTTGTGCAAAGCACCTTGGAGCAGAACAAAACTGAAATAGCTGAAGAGACAATGACTGTCTTTCTGAGATAAGAGAAACAGATGGAACAAAATATTATTTCCTCACTGTACCAAAAACAGTGTTGGGAAACATTTTCCTCCGAAATAACATTGCAGGTGCTAAGGTTATTGTTACAATACTGCTATGAAAAAGCACATTTATACGTATGGGGGTGGGCTGACGAGAGAGTGAACTGTCAGCGCTGAATCATAAATGGACCTGAAAACAGATGGAAGTACGGCATCTACGTTATACAATATAACTCCAGACTGAACTGACCGACTCCCCGTCTTCTGTAGGTAGTTGTTGTTGTTACTGAAGGCCACAGTATACTCTGTGTGTGAAGTTTGTGCGAATATGTGAAACTGTTAAACATAAGGAATTGGCTGTTCCATCAACACAAAGCTAGCAAATGGTACATTGGGATATACTGCAATTCATTTTTTTAGTTGGATTCTGTTTGTCAGGGAACAGAGCAGCACTTTTTTATTTGAATGATAGTGACAGATGGTCCTGTAATATGGTGCAGCATTGGATACAATTTAAGTTTTGTAATAGTCAATGTTTTATTAGGATGATGCAATTGAATAAGTGCTTTCTGTGAAAGAAAACATATTTGTGTATATACTATCAAGTAAACTTCCTAAGAATTAAAAAAAAAAATTGCAGTGGTCGCATCAGTTATGATTTTAGACTTGGTTTGAGTATTTAATAAAGTTTTAAATGTGTTGGCAAGTGATGAAATAATGTCACTACATGAGAACAAAAATATTACGCCGGGATGCTTATAGCAATAAAAAGATTTCCAAGTTTAAAAAAGGGCCCAGCAGGATAAATATAGCCCTGAATGTTATGTCAAATTGTATAAGAAAGTAGTTAAAAGTAGTTCCAGATGATGTAATGACACTTAAAGGTGGGGTAGGTAATTTTGGAGAAACCAGCTCGAGTGCGCTAGAATTTGAAAATACACAGCCGGAAAAAATCTGCCACTACCTTACAGAGCCCCTCCTCCAACACACACGAACGCGCACATGACCAATGAGGGCACGAGATAAGTTTGTGCACAGATGGAAGGCTGACAGGCAGGTANCTATAAAGCTCACAATAATTTTAGTAAAACTAGGAAAATGTACCCTATTGTCCACCCTCGAACTATAAGATCCTTTAGTTTTTTCCGAAAAAAAGTCATACACCAACTCTTCTTTGGCACAAGGACACTTTCAGTGTTAATTTTGGCAGCTGTTTTTGATTTAGTCTTAGTCTCTAGACGAAAATGGTTATTAGTTTTAATCACATTTTAGTCATTCCTATCCTTCGTAGTTTTAGTCTAGTTTTAGTCGACGAAAACTTTAAAACGTGTTAGTCAACTTTTAGTCGATGAAATATTACATTTTAGTCAAAATGTGTCTCTATACTCTGAACGCTCCGTCCCCTCAGATCTCTGTGTCCGCTGCAGCATGTCTGTTAGGCCCCGCCCCCCGCACACAGAGAGACACAGGGAGATCGCTCTTCTGGAGTGAAGAGAGCGGCAATAACGATATTGCAAGTTAGAAACATAAGATACATTTTGACAGACAAGATGGACACTTGGGGAAAATATGCTGCATTTGAATGTCCGATAGTCCACCATTACAACCTTAGTCCCATCTCGTCTCGTCAACGAAAACTAAAATATACATTTCGTCATAGTTTCGTTACCAAGAATCTATTTTTAGCTCGTCATTATCTCGTCTCGTCAACGAAAACTAAATATACATTTCGTCATAGTTTTCGTTACCAAGAATCTATTTTTAGCTCGTCACCGTCTCGTCTTAGTCATGTAAAAAAGGTCGTTGACGAACATTTTTCGTCATAGTTTTCGTTACCAAGAATCTATTTTTAGCTCGTCATCGTCTCGTTTTAGTCATGTAAAAAAGGTCGTTGATGAACATTTTTCGTCATAGTTTTCGTTGACGAAATTAACACTGCTACGTGAGAAACATTTGGTTTTACCTCGCTAATACAATTGTTATCAAACCAATGGCACAGGCACTGCTACAGTCAGTTGTTTACTTTTCATTTCGCAATCCATTTTTAAATGCATTGGCAGTAATTGACAAGTGGACTCGATGCATCACAACCTGCCCATCATAAGCCCTGGAGGCCTGTATGGCAGACATACCCACCTACAGCATATTCAAACATTGAATTACTGCACACATTGATTAGAAGTGGTTTAACCTGCGGAAGAGGTCTCTGTTTTGTTCTCTCAGAGACCAAGTTGTGTGCTCCATGCTTGGAAACAGGGACAGAAATATTTTGGTTGTATACAAATGCTTTGTTTTGTTTAGTCTTAGACTGCGAGCAAAGGTTCAGCTACCTTCAAGATGCATTTCTTCCAGGCACACATACATTTCAACCATGAGTTATTGTACTTTATGAGTCGTAATATGTTTAAATATTCACGATTTTCTGTTATGAAAGGCAGGAAAGGTCTTTGTAAGCATATATTCATAAGTGGAAGAAGTGAGGTGAAATGGGGTGGTCGGTTCACAGAACAGCAGGAACAAGGGGAACAGAGGAAGAATGCTTTGGCAAAGACTCAACTTACATCAATCAGATCAAGTTATTCGATAGGGATGAGCCAGAGCTGTTGAATCTCCACACAGATTTATTTTTGTCTTTATTGATTTTAACAGCTGAAGTCTGTCCAACATTAATATGAAATATATCCAATAAGTTCCCTGGCAGGAAGAAGTTTGGGAAGTCTTGCAGCTCTGGATTTACTATGTCCTGGAAAGCGAATCTGTATTTGACCCAAGAATATTTCCCCCTCCTCGGCTGTTGTCTGTGGAATTAAGAGTGCTAATCTTTATTTTTGTTGTTGCTGTAACCACCTAATGAAGTGTGTGGGGAGCGGGACATAGAGGGATTGTTTTTAATAGTTTTGCATACTTGCCTGAACATCAGTGTTTGTTAGTTAATCATCTGGGAGTTTTTTCTTCTTTTACTTTCGCACAATGAACAGAAAAAGGAGGTGCCTGCAAATACGGTTCGTGTGAACCCTGAGCTTTATTCACATGAGGAATTTCCTCACAATAAAGTGTCACAGCTTAGCTAATTTGTACATTTTTAATTAATTTCGAATTAAAGCGGGGGTAGGTACATTTGAGAAACCGGCTCGAGATACACTTTTTGATATATTCCATGGAATGATCTTAACACCCCGATAGCAATGAATATCTTAAGTGCTTTGACAAAAAATCCATAAAAAAATGTCATCTGTGGAAGCCGTAGTACTGTAAAAAGCAGGACCAATCATTTTAGCCGGCCCGGCAAAAATAACTGGATGGCCTTACCTGCCTGTCAGCCTTCCATCTGTGCACAAACTTATCTCGTGCCCTCATTGGTCATGTGCGCGTTCGTGTGTGTTGGAGGAGGGGCTCTGTAANTCTTAACACTTTACTTTTCAAAGTGCGCATAATTTACATAAATTAACCATATATTTTCGATTACAAGGAGTAGAAATATGATTCAGACATCCGCGGAATGATTCCGCGGATGTCTGAATCATATTTCTACTCCTTGTAATCGAAAATATATGGTTAATTTATGTAAATTATGCGCACTTTGAAAAGTAAAGTGTTAAGAGAATGAAATGTTGCTTTACGAATTTC